AATGCGTTCAGTTAAACCTGTTTCCACTCGACCTCAATCAACTGATGTTTTCGTTCAACCTGACTTACGATATAGTACACACGTTTTCGTTCGTCGAGACTCGCATCGACGACCATTCGAATCAGCATACGAAGGACCCTTCAAAGTTCTTCAACGTGAATCTAAGTACTATATAGTCGATAAGAACGGAACCAACGATAGCATCAGCATCGATCGCTTAAAAGCAGCGTATTTAGAAGGAAATCCTATCTACGTGGATTTTCCTTCGGTACAATCGAACGACACGACTCCGACACTTATAATACCACAGCCGACAACCAACACACACGATGATACTTCGACAGTATCCGAAAATAAACTTAAAACGACGCGTTCTGGAAGAAGGGTGAGATTTCCAGAACATTTAAACGACTATTGCACGTAAGTCACTTCTCGACATTTTATATTATTTTTTTTTAAAAAAAACAATTTTAATATGCTTATATATTTTTATTTCTATTTAAAAAAAACAAAACAAAAAAAACAATTTTTTTAACGCTATTACGTGTTCATGAGTTTATTTTCCATTTTTTTTCCGCCGACATTGTGTTTTTACGCACATACGAGAGTATTTCGACATGCACTTACATCTTCTATTTTCTTTTCCAGGACGGCTGGAAAAGAACGATGACGTTTATGAGGATCCGAAATTTTCATTGTACATTTTCTTTTTTTACTATGTTGTACCTCCGTCCCATATGGTAAGGAAAGACGACCAGACGCCGCTAAATTTAGTAAGCTATCAGAAGAGTGTTTACCAACGACAAACTCGTTGGGTTTAAACTTCTGGCTGGCCACGTCTTAGGGTCGTCACTGCCCCACTAGGGGGGAGTGATCTGTAGCGGTAAATAAATCCCCAAAATAAATAGCTCTGTAGGTTTTCGACATTGGATGCTGACCATATGTTTTAGTGGACTCATCTAGCTGAAGGCGCTCGGTCAGGCATCCGCACCAGATCACGTGTGGTAACGCCGTGCTCAACATCAACCGCAATCGCTAGCCAGATTAGATCAGAGAATTCCGATATATTGGTCATCGCCAAATATACTCTTCCGATCTCCTCGACTCTCTTTTGATTTCTCTGGGCGGGAACGAAATATATTAGAAGGTGTTACTGGTAGAAGCGTTGTCAAACACTGAATACCTGTGACATCATCAATGGTATTCCACGGTCCATTATATATTTGTCATTCTCCCATCAAAGCTGTCCACTAATGAGGGTTAAGTATCTTCGTCTGGGACGGTGTTCCAGATAAGAGCAATTCTGAATAGGAAAAAGTGGGAGTGTACCTGTATGTTTGTTCTTTGGTGTTCAGTCCTTCGAGGGTTGCTTCGAGGAACGTGGTGATGATGTCCTGGCAATATGCTCGTATTAGGGTGGCTTGGCTAACTTAATATGTCGTATGGCATTGTCAGATCACCTCTTATTATCCTGTGGCCCAACGAGAATAACCCCTAATGTTGGAGTCTTTCCTCGTAAAATTTATGTTTCAGCCCTACCATCCACTTAACTTCCTGTAGTTACACTTGTCTAAGAGAATCGAATCTCTTTCGAAAGGAAGGGGCGTAACGACGTTGAGGACTTCAAGGTGGAGCCGTGATTACGTTTTAAATAGTGTCAGGAACAACTGTGGGGTGATTGCGTCAAAATGTCTACGCACAAAGTAGAGAGTGTGTTTCTCTTGGTTGCATCCCCCAAATAATTTGAGCTGGTGACTGAGCTCTCAGTGGTTACAAGCCTGGGATCACTTTCTCAGGAGGCAATCGGAAGCCGATTTTAGTGGAGAGCGTGAGTGCTATGTGTCAAGTGAGCAAGATGTTCGTAACATAACATTATGTGCTAATTGATTGTTCACTGCCCATTCTTTGATACTTGTAAGGTCCTTTTGAAGCTCAAGTGAATAGTTCTTGCTTTTCTGGCCTCTAGAACTTTGCGTCGTGCGCATTGATCTGTTAAGCCGTCGATGATATGGACAAGGAACAGGAGTGGACTCAAAAATGTTAATTCTGGAATTCTTGATGGTGAGATCTTTCGACTGGTGTGTACTTAATTTACCTAAGTACAAAACATCCTATTATCTAGCTACTTTTGAATCCCGGATAAAATTGGTTCTGTAAAACCCATTGTTGCAACCTTCTCTATGAGAACTGCGTAGATTATTGTGTCGAGGGCTTTGGAACAAATCGTGAAATACTAAATGAACCAGTATCCTATGGTCACATTAGGTCGTCCAGCTTTTTTATACTATTCGTTGATCGGACGCACAGAACCTGTCGTTTCCGAATTCGTGTTGCGCTTCACGAAGGATGTTGTTTTCATCCATGTATCCCCTCATTTGTCAGTTGATTAGTCCATCTATCACGTTTGACAGTATTAGGAGTGATGCAACTGGTCCAAAAGACTAAATATTTTCTGTCTTCACCTTTGACAATAGTAGAGAGTGTAGCTGTCGTTGAAAGTTGTCGCATCTTGATGACCTTCCAGGAAGCAGGGATTGTGGTCTCCCTAGTTGTAACCAACGAGTTAGTTGAGTATCGCTCAGACCATCATCTGGCAAAACAATTTCAAACCTTAAACTTTGCCTGATAGGACCAGAGTTCTACTTGTTGTCTTAGATATACGTCTGTGTGTCAGAAGAGCACTCATGATAATGAAAGGACGTGAATACAAAGTAATTGAGAAAAAGATAGGCCCAGGTGAATATTTTTAGTGGTTTTGAATCCTCATACAACTCTCATAATATTGGAAACATGAATTTGAGTAACAAGCGTGGGGAAACAGCCTCAGTATCATCGATCGATTACGTAGTTCACAGACATAAACATAAAGAGTCTGAAACAAAATATTCTGCCCAACAAACTTGGGTGGATTGGAGTCATCGCCCTTAGCATCAATGCCTGCTGGTCAGCAACTCCAACCCCTTTCTGTTATATTAGGTTCTTTTAAATCTACTGAAAGATAAAATATTGTGTTTCATATCCTGCCGAAAAAATCTAATTTCATAAATACCATCAAGCAGTTACAAATTATGGAATGTAGATAAGACATGGATGAACTGCTTTAGATAAGTCGAGTATAAATTATGTGTTTCTAAAGAAAGTATAAGCATCTAGAACAAAATTATTATTACCACTCACAAACGGGTTTCATTTGAAATGCTATTATACACAATGTCCAATAATGTTTGTGTGATATTTGACATATTTAAACAGGTTCTGTGGAAGTTTGAAGAATAATTTTAAAGAAAAATAAGGAAATGGATGAATAAAAAAAGAAAAGTGAGATACGTAGATGATTCAATAAGTTCGTGAGACTGAATAAGGATAAACGGTAATACATGCATTACACAGTGAATCAGTCAGTCAGTCAGTCAGTCAGCTACAACGTAGGACCAGGCACATATGTGCATCGGTCCAGGTTGCCATACCGCATCAGCACAACAAGATGAACACCGGATTCATAGCAATGGTTAGGTCAAAGGTAGTAATATGTAAGAGAAAGATTGCATATAGAGATATAGTACAAGAAGAAAGAATTGGTTCGTAGAAAGAAAGATATGAAGCGATTTTAATCTCTTAGTTTAAGGGAAGACAGAAAGTGTATACACCGACGCCATTGTGATCGATTCTGAGCCATGTCACCAAGAGTCTCCAACCATTGGTTACGATAGTCACGCGGACCTCAACCAAGTAGTCTGCATCTACCAAAATGGCTCAGACTACAAGTTAGTGACTTTAAGCACTGATGCCACGTTTTGGTTTGGCCGCCCCTAACTTTCTTCCAACCATCTCCAATACCGGATAGCATTGCACGTCGTGGTAATCGGTATTCAGGCATACGTAACACGTGGCCCAACCATCTCAGTCGATGAAGATCCATAACCTCATCAACTGATTTACCATCATTCCCTAATACCCTGCGTCTAACCTCACTATTACTTACCCGGTGATCCCAGCAGACGCCAGCAATATTTCTAAGGTATCTGTGGTCAAATACTAGTAGCTTACGAGTGTCTTCTACTCTTAAGGGCCATGTTTCGCTGCCGTAAATTAAAACAGAACGGACTGCCGCGCAGTATACTCGTCCTTTTATTGATAAACGGATATCTCGCCTTCGCCATAGGTGGCGCAAGTTGGCAAAAGCCAATCGAGCTTTTCGAATCCGTGCTGAGATTTCGTCCGATACCAACCCATTAGGGCCGATCAGACTTCCAAGATAAGTGAAGTTGTCAACGCGTTCGACTACTTCACTCCCTATCCTTAGCTTCAGTCCTGAAGCAACAACTTGCATTTAGAGGGAGAGAAGCGCATTCCAAACATCCTGGCATTGTTGCTCAGTGCTACCAGAAGACTCTGCATTTTGTCAGCGTCTTCATCAAACAGGACTATGTCATCTGCGTATTCTAAGTCGATAAGTGGACCTCCTGGTAGGAGATCAATACCCGAGAACTCAGTCGACGAGAAAGTTATTTCCATCAGTAGATCTATGATGAAGTTAAACAAAAATGGGGAAAGTGGACAGCCTTGACGGACACCACTTGAGGTTGCAAAAGTAGATGACAGTTCGCCATAAGCTCTGACTCGACTAGTAGTGTTCGAGTAAAGAGCCTTCACAAGGTTTATGTACTTCTGAGGTACGCCTTTCAATGACAGACACTGCCACAGAATCTCGCGGTATACCGAGTCAAATGCTGCTTTTAAGTCGAGAAAGACCACCATTGTCGGACGTCGATAAGTATGCCTGTGTTCTAGAATCTGACGAATGGTGAATATGTGGTCGGTGCAGCCACGGCCAGGTCTAAAGCCAGCTTGGTTCTCTCGTGTTTGCAGTTCACGAGTCTTAGTTAGGCGTCTGATAATTATCGAAGCTAGTATTTTAGATATTATATTAGTTAGACTAATCCCTCTGTGGTTGTCACAGGATGATTTTGACCCTTTCTTATATATTGGGACGATAAGTGATTGTGACCAGTTAGATGGGATAACGTCTAACTCCCAGATCCTAGCTAAAATATTAGTCAACCTAATCGCTAAAATTGGACCACCATCCTTAAAGACCTCTGGAGCCAATCCATCTGAACCAGCTGCCCTTGTTTCAGATTAACTATAGCCTTTTGAACTTCAGCAAGAGTTGGGGGACCTACTTCAATGTTCCATTCACACTGTCTGGGAATGGAAGGTAGTTGTAGAGTAGCTGAAGGCCAGCTGAACTGTTCTCTGAAATGTTCCGCCCATCGTTCTAAACGCCTGGACTGGGAGCAGATGAGTGTATCGTCTTTTTCCGATATAATCTCACTTACACTTGACTTATTAATTCCAGTTTCTTTTATTAGTCTGTAAAGCTGTCTTGTGTCCCCTATAGTCGCCGCTTTTTCCATCTCTTTTGCTTTCATTGCCCACCACTGCTCACGGTCGTTTCTTAGACTTTTTCTTAACCTAGATCTGATTTGTTGTCGCTCTTCATCATGTTCGGAACCTGATGGGACGAGTTTGCGAGAATCCATCAGTGTGATAGACTTTGAAGAAATCCACTGGTTCTTTGAAACTCTGTGGTTTAAGTTGCTAATAGATGTCACTGCTGCTTCCACAGCTGCTTGTATATCTTTCCAAGCAACATCTGGGTCAGCCTCGTCTTCAGAACTACCTAATCGTGACCTCAGTTGTTCCTGGAACCTACTTTTGGTTTCCTCGCTACTCAGTTCGGTTCTAATGGGTCTTGTTACTGTGGCTTTTTTGCGTCCAGTGAGGCGCAAGCAGATGCGTGCCCGTATTAGGGCGTGGTCGGAGTCCAAGCAGGTACTCCAGACTGAGCGACAATCTTGTACCGACCCTCTCCAACGATGACTGATGGCAATATGGTCTATTTGAGTCCATCGTTGGTTTGGTGTAGGGGGTCGCCATGTTAGACGATGTCTCTCCTTATGCTTAAAATTTGTGTTTGCTAAAAGTAAGCGATTGTCTGAGCACAGTTGCAGCAGACGGTCACCATTATCTGTTCGCTGTGCTGGAATGCTAAAATATCCACCTAAATGCCTTTCTGTTTGGTTTAAGCTACCTATCTGAGCATTAAAGTCACCCCCTATGAGTACTATGTCTGAGCGTTTAGCTTTCTGAAGAAGTTCAGAAAGCTTTCTGTAAAATTCATCTTTCACATCATCTGAGCTGCAGTCAGTGGGAGCGTAGGCAGAAACGACGAAAAGGCAACGACGTGTATCCCTATCCTTCCGAGTTCTTACGGAACCTTTTAACCGAACAGCACATAGACGACTGTTGACGGGGATCCACTCTAGCAGTGCTTGTTCCGCCCTCATGCTTAGTGCTATGCCTACACCTGCCAGTCCACGAGAACTGGCCATCGGGTCACCAGATACTCGTAGGGTGTATCTCGTTGGCTCTCCGTTTTGCCGAGGTGAGGTCATGTGAATGACCACACTGGAATCCTGTATGCGTGTTTCGGAGACACAGCATACATCAATGGAAAGAGACTCTTGGGTTTTAGCCAAGGAAGCCTGCTGACCGATTTGACATAGAGTGCGTACGTTGAAAGCTCCAATGTGTAGTTTGGAGCGAGGTTTCAGTAGACCTGGGACAGGGTTTTGAGCACTAGAATCGTTGGCTATGGTGACACTTGAGGAGGAAGCCGAAGGAGGAGGTTTAGGGTTGAAAGTCGATGTAGGAGGAATAATAGGAATTGAAGAGGAAGGTTGATTATGAATACAGTGGTCTTGGGTGCTGTTAGAGGTATGAGGGCGGTTATCACTTCCCGGTTGCCCACACCGTGGAGGGCAAAGTGAATCAGAAAAATAGGACATAATGGTAATATAAGGGTTTACTCAATAATAATTTAGGATGATGCAGCGAAAGTTCTTACTAATTGCAAAAAAATCAAACATCAATTTACATGTGTCGCATGCATGCAGTGAGGATAAACTGAACCCAAAACGTCAAATTATTTACGTGCAACACAGGATACCGTGTTTTTATCTATAAACTTTGGATGTTTGGGGATAAAGTTTGTGCACAAGGAAGAGAGACAGACGGGATAGGAGGAAGAAAGAAGAGAATGTTTAATGTATCAAGGTTTCAACGCTTATAAGAATAAATATAAACATAAGCGAACTTCAAGTAAATACATGGAAAGAAAGTGGATAATAATATTGTTTTACAAATAAATAGATAGGTATCGAACCTTGTTTGTATAAATAAGTGGTAATCAAACTGTCATTTAATAGGCGACAAAAACCACTTTCGGAATTTTATCAAGAAAAATTTCCGGCCATGTTATGGTATATTCATGAAGGAGGTTTTCCGGTTCAAAAGAGAATAACGAAGAAATTCTGGCATATTTTTGTGTAGGTTTGTTGAATTATGGTCTACTATGATATTAGTACTGCTTTAATAATAGACCTAATCCTAAATTTGTAGATTTGTCATGATATAACTGCCTAATCTATAAGATCTTACGTGGAAGTCACACCATCGACTACACCAACTCACTGTATCGTATCAATTACCAATACATGATGTAGAACAAGGTTAGGCTAGAGAAAGAACAATATATTTAATATGAATAGAAGATATAAGGTAACATTCAGCAGAGACCACGCCTGCATGGCCGAGCCATGCCACTCGATCAACTCCAGTCCATTCAATTCATTCTCCGCGCCTTCTCCATTGTTAGGTATTTCTCCGCGTTAAATATTGAATATCTATTTTCTGAGTAGTCTCGTGTTCACAGCTTTGTGGATTGTGTGGCTGTTGTCCAATGCCACTACACTACTCTCCCACCAGAATCAACGTGATGTTGGTTCGATACCAAATTGGATGGGATCGTCGCGCGCCGGAGGTTACCAAGACTAGTAAGAATCCTCCGGGTATTGGTAAGCTGAAAGATAAATCAAAAAGAAAGCGGCAGCATCTGGTCGGGAAATACATGTAATAATCTTAAAATATCTGCTTTCATGATTAACACGCTTAAAATGAAAATTTGGTTGAAGATTATTTGAACTATAAAATATGGGATTACAATAATAATAATAAAACGATGCGTGTTAATAACTTGACTTATAGGCAGTAATTATTTTGTGTTTAGAAATATTAAAGTAATGAATATTGTAGAAATGTTAATATTGGTATTAGTTTTGGTTTAAATTATGAAATCAGATAACGATTATGCCGGTAAGTTGTCCATAAGAGTCGAATTCCAATTGCATCTGTATTAGTAGGCTAACTGAAGGAACAAAAGTATACCGTGGAGAAGAATTCCAACTAGTGTTCCAGTTAGTTTGATACGGTTTATTTAGTTACGGGGAGATTTTCTCAACCTCATTTTTGCTTGACCGTGATAGAATTTAGTAATACTACTAATACACATGAATGGTTATCAAAACAAAATTTGCATATGTGAGTGATGATTATATGAATTTGGGACAGATAGCTAGGAACAAATCGTTAAACATGAGTGTATTCGTTAGAGACATGTTCTAGACTCAATGTTCTGCGTTGCCATAGACTATTTATACATATTTATGTCTGACGGCTGATTAAGCATACAAGTTAGTTGGAAGTATGCAGTTTATCATAAGGCGAAATACGATTTAATTGAGATATGGTGGTTATAAGTTATTAAAATCAGTTAAGCCTATGTGTCATATTACGAAGTGATGTGGTGCTGCAGGATGTATTTAGCTAAATAAGTTTTTACAAGATGATTAATAGTTAGTGATGCTCATGTGATTATCAGGGAGAACATAAGTTGTAACCAGGGGGAGTACACTCCCAACTCATGTCTATGATAATGGCTTGAACCTTAGTCAGTGTTGGGGTAAATTCGGCATTAATGTTTTCAGTTTGCAGGAGATTTGCTCGACTGCTTATACTGATTATTTGCATGCATGATTGTGTCGCTAAACCATCAATTAGACTGACAACGTTTTGAGATATTTACTGAATGAGCAACTGATAGAGAAACCTACTGTAATCATCTGTAGTGAATGAAGATAAAAGAAAAACAACACTAGTGATAATTATAAGTCAATTTGCTGACCGATTTTGTTAATAGTTTCATTAATTTTATAAATCATATTACGTGATTGTCAAGTTATGACAATGCTTTATGGCGATATCCTGAAACTATTATGTTTAACTAGTTATAGTGTTGAATGAGGATTAGTCAGTGGAAAAATAGGTATTGTTGCTTTAGGTGATTCGAAATTATCAGACATTTGTAACGTTAAAGAATCCGAGACGCCTAATTTAATTATAAACTTCATATCAGAAAGATAAGTTTAGTGTTAATTCTAGTAGGCTAAGGAGTTTTGATTTTAAACGTTTGTTTAGCCAACAGCTACCTAGGGATTTAGTTATTTTACTAGTGCAGTTGATAGTACCTAAATTTTTAATCTTATTATCTAAACTATGTTCGCATTTTAGGCTACTAATATGATAAACCAATCCATAAACCCAAATACGATTAGCAACAACGACTATGATGGGTTTATTGATAAATGTTAAAGGCGATCCAGATGATTTCTAAATTTAGAAGACATGGAGATATAGTGTGACGTATGTATGGGCCAGGTTAACATGCAGGTTGTTGACGTATATGAAGATTTAAAAATAATGAACATGACCAGAAAATAATTTTAAAGTTAAGACTGCTTGTGAAACTTCAGGCAGGAATATGATGCGTTATAAACCTTCCATAAGAAGTTACTGCATTTAGCTTAGTGACACTTACAAATATATGGCAAAAGCAACTGAAAAACATACACATGTTAAGTACAAAAAAATCATCCAGTAAAATAGTTGAACTCGCCTTGATTATTTTTGAAAATGAGATTATTCAGTGGACGACATATAACGCCATTCGTGAGTAGTAATGATCCAAAAGCATCCAGAATAAAACATGCAGTATGGCAATCACTTCCAGGGTGCTTGATGCTGTTGAGGTTTTTGACACTCGCTCGGATCAGAACAATCGAATGAATCCAGATAATTGTATGGTTGTCATTGAACAAACCATCTAAAAATGATTGCAGAAAACTTATAGCTGGAACTCACCGTATTTTTTTGGAGAAGTGTCATCCTTGTTGTTTGGCAATGGAACTCGAGAATATGAAATTAGGCAGGCAGTGGTCGGGAGAAAAGATATTACAGGATAGTGCATCGTTTAAAACAGGATGAGATGTTAAGTAAAGGAACACTGAGAATTAGATCCAGATAACTATTTAGTCCTTGATTGCATTGTTAGTCAATGTATATTTATGCTATTAACAGGTCATATTCGCTAGAGCTTGATGTTTAAACAAGTCTATGTCGCTGAAGCAGGTAAATGCTATTAAAGCTTGTTAACGAACCATCAAAGCTAATTAGTTGATATAGATGATCAACTTTTATTATCGATTGAGCTAGTAAGTTATGTGAACTTATAGATATAACATTACGATAATATATGTGGCCATTAATCAAAGGACAATTAGAATACTGGGTTTACAAAAATAACCG